TGACTATTTTTCCCTCGGACAATTTTTTTANATTTTTTCGACGTGTGCTCTTCCGATCTAAAATTTTAAATAAATTTTTTTGAACCAAAAATCGAAAAATCTGAAAAATAAATACGACTATTTTTCCCTCGGACAATTTTTTATATTTTTCGATTTCTGCAATAAAAATTTAAAAAAAATTTTTTTGAACCAAAAATCGAAAAATTTGAAAAATAAATACGACTATTTTTCCCTCGGACAATTTTTTATATTTTTTGATTTCTGCAATAAAAATTTAAAAAATTTTTTTAACAAAATCGAAAATCTGAAAAATAATACATTTTTCCCTCGGACAATTTTTTATATTTTTCGATTTCTGCAATAAAAATTTTCATAAAGTTTCTCATGTCAGAAATCGGAGAATGACCTTAAAAATCACATGATATAAAAAATGGTGGTAAAGAGTAGTGTGGTAAGTGATGGGGATGAGTGGTGGGAGTGGCGGTGGCGGTGGGTGGTGATGGGTAGTTGTGGTGGGTGGTGGTGATGGGTGGCGGTCCTGGGGGGTGGTGGTGGATGATGGATCAAAAAGAATTTGTATCTAAAAAATTAAATAATATAAAAAATATTCAAAAAAAAATTTTTGTTTAAAAATTAACTGATATAAAAAATTTTCATAAAAAAAATTTTTATCTTAAAAATCAAATGCCATGTTATCTGCATTGCAGCTTTTTTCTTTCAATGTTTAAAAATTCATATCTTCCAGAAAAATAAATATATCGATTTCTTTCTGGGCTTATCTTAAAGATGAATTATGTGGCTATTTTCTAAAAAATCGTGATTTTAATTAAAAATGGCCGAATTAATATGGCCGATTAAAACGTTATTTTATTGAAAATTGTTAAAATTTGTTTAATTAAAATATAGTTTGGTATAAATGTTATTGGACGATGTATGCACTAGTACGCATAAAAAGAAGAGTGACGCGATTTTAAATTTTTTCGTTACTGGATTTAAGCGGCCGGTAATCTTTGCTGGATTAAAAGAATTCACGTATTCGTGCAAAAATATTGCGACGTTCCAGCTCGCTCAACGTTCAAGATTATAATTTTCGTTTAGTCGCGTTGATCTATCGATCGCACTGTAATGGAAATGGGAACGCATGGCGACGAAAAAACACAGTTCAAACTTTTTCTATCGGCTCTTGCATTAGCGTACCACGTTCAGTTCTATTTTTCTTTTTTTTTCACCGCTGAGAGAGAGAGAGAGAGAGAGAGAGAGAGAGAGAGAAAAGATTCCAGCTCGATAATGCTGAATTTATTGAATTTAGAGTTGGTCGAGGTACGACGGGTACTTTTTTTTTATTTAGTAATAATTTGCACTTGGTAAATTGTGCGGATCATATTTCGCAAATTATGAAATCGCTTAGAAATTGGGAAATTCTATTAATTAAACACGTAATGATATCATCTCAACTCCACAAAGATAACAAGATTAAAGGAGGGAAGCACCGGATTTCCTGCGTTTGAAACAGTGCTACCGACGAACTTTGGGATTTAAGTCAGCGAATAATCTTATTAGTGAAGATGCCGAAACTTACTTTTCCTATCGGAAGTTGAACTGGCTCGCCAGCTGTTACTAGACCTCTGACTTAACAAAAATGCAACCGATCTGCGCTCGATATTTTTTATTACTTTCGATAAGCTTCGAGATTTTTTAATATTAAAATTTCATTCAGTTTTTATTACGATAGATATTGATTTGAACTATGCACAGATTCAGTATTTCTCATCTCCAAGTAATACATTATTCCTTGACTTTGAAATGAATCGTTAATAAATAACGGATCTTTTAACGACGGATAAGTTTTCTACTGGATTATTCAATCTGGCTGTTTCGTGTTTTCCATGCTTTAAATTTGAAAATAATTGAAGAAGTACATGTAAATAACAAAATATTATAAAGCAGAAGATGCACATTCAAATTTGAACATTATTTAAGCCAGAACTATCACCAGCAGTGCCGAAAAATATCAGTACGACACATTTCCGCCGAGTGTCGTGCTGCCATAAATATTCAAAACTTAAACTGTGTAAAAATAATTAATTGTTGCACTTTTGTCTGGAAACGCTATATAATTATGAAATTAACTTAGGATTAACGGGAACACTTGACAGATGTCGTAATATTTAGCAGGATAGTACTTTAAAGGGAGATGTACCGTGCTGGAACGTGAAGCATCATTTTTTATTTTTATTTTTTTTGTATTAAAAATGAACATTTTTTAATGTTTATCTGGAACAATAGAACTATAATATTATTGTTTTTATAAAATTGATAAAACACTAACTTCACGGACACTAAATCTAACTTCGAAGTATGAGATTATTTGTTTCGCTATTACATTTCTCTTTCAAACTTTTTCTTGAGAGAAATAAAATTGCATAATAATAAATCAGGAAAAGAAAACGAATTATTGCATTTTTCATAGCAAGTATTTTATCTTTTGATTTATAAAAATATGAAAAGAAAAATTTACTGAAGTAACATAATGTCATTTCTCTTGAGATAAAAATTTAGCATAAAGCAATGACAAATTAATTGGTGTAAATATTCCTTTGATCGAAATCCTTTGAAATAAGTTACATTTTATTCTTTGAATGGACGTTTGATTTAACATGTGTAACTCATATATGTTTATTGACTAATTCATTGTATAAAGAATAAAATATTTATCGTACTTCAGTTTTGTAACGTTCGAAAGAATTTACGGTGAGACGAATTGATAAGCTCGATTGACGATTATACACAGTGGGTGCTCTTTGTTCTTGCATGCGGCGTAAGATGCTTTGACGCGCGATGTATCGTGCTCATTGTTTCGTGCGGCGGGGTGTACGTCGTGTACGTTGGATGTTGTTTTGATGCGCGGCATAAGGTGTAACGGCTGCGTAGGTACACAAGGTCGCCGCGCTATCATTTGCATATCGAGACACTCGGAGAGGCAGGCAGCGCTGATAGTCGTTTTATATAGCTATATGAAGTTGGCCCTTCCACTATTGAAAATCCACTAACGACCACCCGATTGGTAGTCGCGTTTGGTAACACATATTTGATAGTCCATTCCCGATGAATGGTAAATCAGAATTGTAAATAACAATACGAAAAAAAGACTAAACGTAAATAAACACCTACCAAACGAATGCTTATAGTTATGATTACTTCGCAGTCTGGAAAGCCGTATTTTGCGAAAGTAGGGGCTAACTTTACGCGCGTATATCTTTTTTTGCGTATTGTTATTTACAACTTTGACTACCATTTATCGGGAATGGATTATCAAATACTATCAAACGACCACCAATCGAGTAATGGTCGTGGATTTTTAGTAGTAAGGTGGCCAATTTCACACAGTTGTTTTATATATCGTTGTATTATCAATCCTTACGCGATCGCAAGTACTCGGATCAAACTTTATTACTCCGTACGCGTTTATACGCAACACGTGAGACTTTTAATGCTAATGAATTGTGTGATTAATAAGCTCTATAACGAGAAATGCTTCGCATATCTACGCGATGGTTCTTTTTCGTAACAGATATTTTTCGTAGCTTATTTAAAGTACGAGTACAAATCGATAATAAGTAACGCTTATCAATTTGTGCGACTAATAAGCTCTTACAATTCGTAACGAGAAAAATTTATCAATTAGAAATTTCAGAAACGTGAATTAACGTAAACGTCGGATGTAAAATTTATAAAATATTAAATTTTTTGGGACGGTAACATATCGTTTGGCGCGTGGTTTTGTATTTGTTTTTTTTATGCGCTGTATGCGCATCGACATTGTTTACGCAAACTCGCCGCACTATCATTTGTATCTCGAAATTGGAGCACGCAGAAAGCAGCGAGAGAGTCGTTCCGCGTGTATCGTTGCGTTTTCACTCTTCTAAACGTGATCACAAGCGCTAGGGTAAAATTTGATCGCATTAAAATACGAATCTTGTACTGTATGCTAATAAATAGAATATATGTTAGAAAAGACAAGTTGTAAAATACATCGTAATACATTTATTAATACGTAATATTTTTTATGTTTCAGAGTGTTCAACATTTCGTATGCGGGAGTGCCTTGAAAAGTATCGCGCGATCGTTATATTTTATTTAATTAGTACACTTGCGATAATAATTAATCGGGTTCGCGAGTGATTATTGTGCGACTGCAAGAGAAAAAATCTGAGAGGAGGAGGAGGCCTAGGAAAGGCATCGAGCGCCGGCGGAGCAACTATAAGGTAATTCATTCTTTATAAATTATATATTTCTTAGAAACTGTATAATTATTTTATCAGAAATCTTTACTTAAAAAAAAATAAGATAAAATAAGAAATTCAATACGTGCAATAATTATTTTTTAAAGTTTATTATTTTGAGAATATTTGTCTGTTAAGAGACATTTTGTTAAGAAATACAGACGTATATTTTATAATTGAACTTTATACGATATAATTTAAATTATCTCAGAGTTTATTATTTACATATCAGTTATAGCAAAGTATTTAATATATTATATAGATTAGATAAAAATAACAAGAGAACAATAATTTAAAGATTTTACTATTTTAATATACATTTATTAATACGTAATATTTTTTGTGTTTCAGAGTGTTCAACATTTCGTATGCGGGAGTGCCTTGAAAAGTATCGCGCGATCGTTATATTTTATTTAATTAGTACACGTGTGATAATAATTAATTCGGATTCGCGAGTGATTATTGTGTAAGTGCAAGGGACAAAATCTGAGAGGAGGAGGAGGCCTGGGAAAGGCATCCAGCGCCGGCGGAGCAACTATAAGGTAATTCATTCTTTATAAATTATATATTTCTTAGAAACTGTATAATTATTTTATCAGAAATCTTTATTTGAAAAAAATAAGATAAAATAAGAAATTCAATACGCGGAATAATTATTTTTTAAAGTTTATTATTTTGAGAATATTTGTATGTTAATAGACATTTCGTTAAGAAACACAGACGTATATTTTATAATCGAACTTTATACGATATAATTTAAATTATCTCAGAGTTTATTATTTACATATCAGTTATAGCAAAGTACTTAATATATTATATAGATTAGATAAAGATAACAAGAGAACAATAATTTAAAGATTTTATTATTTTAATATCCAGCATCTCTGTCATTGTGGTTAAGCGCGGATTATTTACGATAACTATTAAACAATAGTTATTTAACAATATAGCAGGAACTAATGATTGATGAATAATTCGAGGAATATAGAGATATATAATGTCTCATAACGGTTTCGTCAGCTTGCGCAGGATATCGATGCGTGCTTAATTAATTCCCGTGCAGTATAGTTTATGTACATACAATCGCGGTATACAAGAGCGGAATGATGATATCGTGTCGTCGAATAGGAGATACACTAATCCACAAAATGCGCCGCATTGTAATAATGCCCGCTTCGTTGCACTTCCAATTGTGAATAATATAATAATCTGGTAATTATAAAGATTACAGCAAGTATAATTATTGATAAAAAATATGAGAAATCCAAATAGTTATTTATAAATTACTTAATACCTCTTATATATTTGAGTATGCACGAAAAAAATGATATATTAACAACAGTAGTCTAATTGAAAATAATCTTGTTAATTCAATATGTCATGCTCTGATTAATAAAACAAGTATTTGTTTCATTAATGCTACTATTGAATTAACAAGACTATATCCAATTAGATTTCATGTTATTAATACAACATAATTATTTTTTTCATATGTAATTAACTGTATAAGAAACATGCATATATTTAGATTATCATACATTAAAAAATGTATATAAAAAGATCCCAAATGTTTTATTTAAACTAATTTTTTAATCAATTATATTTAATCAATTATATATATACGCAAATGGATAAACAAAATTTATTATTCATTATTTGAGTAATTACTTAATTTTTATCGTTAAGCAAATGTAATAGTTATAATATGGCAATAGCGCAATCCGATGACTCACCGAAAATTCAACCTCCTTCGGGAGATTTAGGTAAAATCTTGCGACGTGAAATTTCAAGAAAAAAGGTAATTGCTCCTGGGCACTCATTATAGTTTTTCTGTCGGTGATATTGAGCTCCTTGCAGAGGGTGATCGAGCCCAGCCAGAAGCCATTGCCGAAGTGAAATTGCGAGGAGTAGCGGCCACTCGCGTCTGACACTGAAAAGAAAAGCCAGACGAAACGGTGAAAATAATTGTCCGTCATCGGGGCGGAACGAGTGAGATAAGCGTGCCGCTTTCGTGTCACTTTTATTGCGCGTTCCTTGCGAGAGACACGAGAGAGAGAGAGAGAGAGAGAGAGAGAGAGAGAGAGAGAGAGAG